CGGCCATCTCCGAGAAGCGCTGGGCGAGGCCCCCCTGGTTGGCGGCGTACTTCACAGTCCGCCCGCCCCAGAGACCCGCCTGCCGCCCGGCGCGGACTAGACGGGAGACGGCGTCCCGAAGCATGCCGGGCCCTACCTCGCCTGCCAAGCGGAGGGCCTCGACCTCCCCGGCGGACGAGTCTAGCGCGCCCTGCAGATCGGCGATGGTGTGTTCGGCAGCTGCGAGGCGGGCGGTTAAGTCGCTTTCGCCCGCGGCCGCCCCGCCGCTGCGCGCCCTCGCGTCCAGCTCCTTCTCCCGCGCCTCGAGCTCAGCGGCCCGCTGGTTCAGCGCGGCCCTCTCGGCGCGGGCACCTTCCAGATTACGGCGCGCCTGCTCCTCCCGCACTGCCTCACGGAGGGACAGGCTGTCCGCCAGACGTTGCGCCGCGGCCTCGGCCTCCTCGAGAGCTCGCTCCCGCTCGGTGAGCGCGTCCTCGCGGAGGCGGAGCGCGGACTCCTCTTCGGCGCAGGCGGCCTCGTGCGCCGCCAGCGTTGCCTCCCGGATGGCAACGGCGGCCTCGCGGTCCACCAGGTCCCTCTCCACGACGCCGGCGCGCTCTTCCAGCGCCATGGCACGAGCCTCGAGGGCCTCTTCGCGCCGCCGAGACGCCGCCTCGGTCTCCGCCGCCCGCCGTTCTCGGGCAGTGGCAGCATCAAGGACCCCCCGGGCGGCGTCGAGCTTTTTCCCTAGCTCCGCCTCCCAGCTCCCGTATTGAAGGCGGAGGGTGTCCTGCGCCTCGTTCATCACAGTGGTGGCGATGAGGGCAGCCCCCCGCTCCTCCTCCACCTCCTTGGCGATCTCCCCCAGCACCTTCCGACGGGCTTCGAGCTCTGAGACGTGCCGGCGGTGTGCCTTGCGGCCCACCTCCACCATGGCCTCCACCGAGCGACGCCCCTCTTTGACACGTGCCCATGCGGCGTCGAGCTCCACCCGCTCTGCTTGCAAGGCCTCCATCTGGGCACTTAACCCGTCCAACACCGTGGTGTTAGCGACGGCCAAGGCCTGCAGAAGAGGTTCTGCGCTCAGTGGAGCAACGGAAGGCGTGGGGAAGAGCCGCCTCGAAGAGGATGCCGCGCGGCTTGGCCCGCCGATGGACGTGCCGGACTCGGGGATGTCCCCCGGACCTGGTTTGTCCTGAGCGTCGCACGAGTGAGTGGGCCCAAGCGATGCGCCCGCGGCCTCGTCGCGAGCTGCTTCGGAAGTCGTCGTCGCCTCGGCCTGGCGAAGTCTGGCCTCCTCCCGAGCGGCTTCTTCAGCTTGGCGAGCTCGGACGGCCACCTGAGCAGCTTCCTCGGCTTCTCGAAGGCAATCCGCGGCCTCTTGCCGGTCAGTTTCACGGGTCGCCTCGGAGGATGTCGTCGCCTCGGCCTGGCGAAGTCTGGCCTCCTCCCGAGCGGCTTCTTCAGCTTGGCGAGCTCGGACGGCCACCTGAGCAGCTTCCTCGGCTTCTCGAAGGCGATCCGCGGCCTCTTGCCGGTCAGTTTCACGGGTCGCCTCGGAGGATGTCGTCGCCTCGGCCTGGCGAAGTCTGGCCTCCTCCCGAGCGGCTTCTTCAGCTTGGCGAGCTCGGACGGCCACCTGGGCGGCCTCCTCGGCTTACCGTAGGCGATCCGCGGCTTCTCGCCGGTCAGATTCCCGCCTCCGAGCCTTTGTGGTCGCCGGGTCCTCGGCCTCAGACTGGCCGGACTTGGAATGGCGGGAGGGACGCGACGGGATCTCGCTGAAACAGAAGAAAGACCAGAAGACAAACAAGATGGATGAGTGAAAACTCGCGTTGAGGGAATGAATACGGCCACGATGGGCGTGGGACGAACCTGCGAGGGGGTCGGTTAAACGACCACCTTGGAGGGGAAATAAGGTTTCCCCGGGATGGTTCTGTCCCCCCCATCTTGCGGGGCCGTTTCTTCTTCCGCTCCCCTCGGGCTGCGACGTCGGCGTGGCCCCCTCCGGGCGCCTGCTGCTGGCACGCGCCGCCCCGCCCCCTCGGGGAGGAGATGGGGGAGGGGTTCCTTCCTGCTTCCTCTTCCCCCGGGCGTCGGCAGGGCGGCCGCTCCCCGGGCCCCCGTCGCGGGGCCCAGAAGCACGACCCCCTCCCGGGGTAGATCGTTCCCCCCTGCGGCTCCCGCCCGCGCCATCGTGGCCTCGAGGAGCCCGCTCCTCCGACGCCCTGACCGCCTGCATGATGGTCAGGATGGAGGCACGGTCTGGATCGCTGCAGAGGGGGAGGACTCCTTGAGAAATGAGGGATGCCTCCACGGAGCTGAGATTCAGCACCCGTTGGACCACTATCTTGAAGTCCTCAGGAGCCCAGTCCCATCTGACCCCCTGGTGGGTCCTCATACAGTCCTCGGACCCGGTGTACTCCCAGGCGCCCCGGGCGCGCCGCTGGAGTGGCGCGATCCGGCGACGAAGATAGTCGCCGAACACCATGGCCCCTGTGAGCCCCTGGGATCGCAGGCCCGCCAGGCGGTCGAGGACGGCGTCGTAGCCATCTCCCAGATCTACCGGCGCCCGCCAGTTGGAGGCCTGCGCTGGAGGCTGGCTCGGAAGTCGGAGGCGCGCTTCGTCGGCGAGGGGGGTATAGAACCAGTCGCTCTTCCAGTCATCCCACTTCTTGCGGAGGACGCAGGGAATGTAGTGGTTCAGCACCGGCCCCCGCGGCTGGAAGTAGCAACCACCAACCACCGACGGCGGCGACACCGGCTGTACAGTGAAGAACCACCGAAACAGCCGAAGGGATGGGCGCACCCCGATGAACATCTCGCACAGGTGCGCGAAGATGGCCAATGTCATTACCGCGTTGGGGGTGAGGTGCGCCATCTGGAGATCGTAAAACTCCAGAACATCCATGAAGAAAGAAGAAAATGGCGGAACCAGCCCTGCCATAGCAAAAGGGAGGAAGAAGACGGACCGCCCCGGGTAGCGTGGCGCCGGGCATCCCTCGCCCAGCGAGACTATCTCCCGGCCGGTGGCAGATTCCGGCATGAAGCGGCGCGGCAGCTCGGCCTGTCTCTCGCTCACGATGCGGGAAGGCGGCAGCACGCTACCATCAAGCGGAGCGGAGCCCCGTGCCATGACGCCGGAAGAAGAGATGTTTGAGAGCGAGCGCGTGTGGCGAAGGTAGGGCACAGGAAACAAGGAGTTAGGGCGCAAGCGGCGAAGACAAGGGGAATAATAGTGAGAGGAAGGAAGCAAATCTCTTCCTCGGCGACTTTATACCCTTGCCAACGCTGTGCCCGGCTCCTCGTTTCTCGCGCCCACTATCTTGCCCCCTCGTTTCTCGCGCCCACGCTTCCACTAATCCCATTCGCCCGTTTGCGGTGCATGAGGTGGATATGCGGCTGTGGCAGTCTAGATGGAACATCTCGTGCGCGCGTTAATTACGCTCGCCGACCGAAGCGCCATCATCATATCTCCAGGAAAAACGAACCGGCTTGTCCCGATTTTTAGACCGGCCCCACCTGTCACCAGGCCTTAGGAAGTGGCGTCACGCCCGACCGCTTCCCTCGAGGAGGGCGATCGCCCTGGCATAACGCCGGGGGCTACTGTCGGTGACATGGGACCAGGAGTATCATGACTTAGAGACTTGAGGCAGACACGATCGCCCACGTGGCCTAACCCCCTCGGGGGGGTCGGGCCCGAGGGTGATACGGCCGCCCTTCTCTTTGTCTCCCCGAGGGGTCGGACCGCTACCGCCTCGGCCCCGAGGGCCGAGGCGCCCCGACCCCTTGTGGGTTTTGCGCCGCGTATATGGGGTAGGTGAGCATAGCGGGGCTCACCTAACCACATTTATTACGGTTTGGACGAGCGCGTCACGCCGCATGTAACGCAGTGCAGCGCGCTCGTTTATTCGGTCTGTGACCGGTCACAGACCGGTCAGATCGTGGGTTAGGTGGCGACAGGCGGTCTGACGCACGCCTTGCCCCATCCCGTCAGGACGAGAGCCTCCAAGCACTCGTCCCTAGCCGGAACCGGCGTGTTAGCTCCTGGAGATGGCACGTTGGTTCCGGTCAGATATATGCCAGGCTTCATCCTAACCATTACAGGCAAGATATTGTATGAAGAAGGGTGAACATGCAGATTGTTAAACTGACACGTGGTGGACAAGAATGACCGATTTGTGATCGGTCTGACAATGGTCATGTCAGCAGACAGCCATGTTCCCACGTCGCGTCTGCTTCCGGCGGAAGTGGAGGTAGGTATGGGCCGTCCCATCAGAAGGTCATTCGGACGGCAGCCATACAAATCTCCGTCCATTAATGAAGAGAAGTCAAGTAAGAAAGAGAGGGAGAGATGGTGCATGTGGTATCCCCTTGAGATATAAAAGGAGGACCTTGCCCACTTAGAAAAAGGGGGAAAAAAGAGGAGAACGATCCTAGAACGAGAGGGGGGCTGGCTCGGACTTTGTAGCTTCTTCATACACAGATCCACCAAAACACAGGAGTAGGGTATTACGCTTCTCAGCGGCCCGAACCTGTATACATCGCCCGTGTCTTGTGTGTTTCCATTCTCGCGAACTTTCCACAGACCAAGAGCTTAGAACCTCACACAGGGCCCCCGGCCGAACTGGCAAAGGGGGGCCTGCGCGGTCTCCCGGTGAGGAGCCCCACGCTCCGTCAATATTAGTATTATGAAATGGATAACAAATAAAGTTATTCTATAACAGGGAAGTAACTTTTAGCAACAAAGACAATGTTCTTTTGAATGAAAAAAGGGGGCAATTTTCGTCATTCTTTTTTTAATATTCGAGTTTTACATTATGGCTATCAGTGATGAATGCAGTCAAATAATGCGTCCTGGTAAATGAAAAAAAAATGGCAGAAACGGTCGGCTTTACTCCTAGCATTCACAAGATTTACTCAACATAATGAACCAATCCTTTCAAAGGTCAAAGTGACATTCGAAGCGATTCGTTATGAGTAACGGCAACATGCAAGGGAATGCTCTTACTAAGTATATGTTCATGAAAGAGATATCACAAAGATAAAACCACCCAAAAGTTTCACCATTCCCCCGCAAAAAAAAAAAAGAAAAAGTTTCACCATTCCAGTATGATTCAGTGAATTGTATCACATTGTTAATCACATTTTTGAGTAACAATGGAAATTGACGACAAATTCGCAAACTGCATTCTTAATTTGTTATCTTTTCATCGCTACAGGCCTACAGCAAAAAAACACCTTCAATTCAAGTAGCCTGCCATTTCGTCGAACACCTTGCACCTCATTCCTTCTCGCCAAGATCGCCGCGGCGCACCGGTGGCCAAACCATCATCTCGACGGGGAAGATGTCGCCGAGCGGCCTCGACTCATCGGTGTTGCGCCACATCCTCTCAAACCTCCACGTCGCGAGGTCGAGGGATACGACCCAGTCGGCCATGACGAAGAACAGCGCGCCGGTGCCCTCGCAGAATCCACCGAAGCTCACGAGCTTGCAGCCGCGCAGCTGGTCCGAGATTTTCGCCGAGAGCTTGATTCGGGAGAGGTCACCGACGGTGGCCGGGTTCATCAGCGCGCGCAGGTCCACCGCCGGCTGCTCCACCCATTTCCCCGGCGACTCGAGAACCCACTTCGCAAGAACGAGCTGCTCCCGCAGCGCGAAGAAGCAGAGACGGCCGTCGTGTGTCTTGCCGATCCAGTGGTTCCCGGCGTACAGGAGCATCCCGGTGTTCGGCAATGGCACCGCCGAGAGCGTCATCTTGGTCGCGTCGACTGCCATTACGTATTTGTCTTCTTCGCTCTGGAGCTTGTAGACCACGTCGCCGATGACGACCGTCGGGCCTTGGTGTGGGTTCATGGACTTCTTGAGCGCTCCGGTGGCCGCCTCCCATGCGGAGGCGGCGGAAGAGTACACTAGAATGTCGAAGTGGGCAGCAGCGCCGAAGAGGACGACGGCGACGCGGAACGCCGCGCCGGCGCCAGGTAGGAGCGCGCAGCAGGCGACCTTGTGTCCGGCGACGAAGCGGGAGGGGAGGGACACGGACGTCTTCCTCAGCGGGTCGCAGACGAGGAGCTTGAGCTCTCTCGCCGACCCGGCGCCGAGCTCGCGGAGCAGGAGGCGCCGGCCACGGCAGTCGACGAGGAGGGCGCCGCACGCGGGCGACACCGAGAGCGCCCCGTGGTCGAGGCCGAGGCCGACGCCGGCTGCAGGGACGAAAGGGGGAAGCGCGGACGGCGCGTAGTTGCGGAAGAACCCGAAGTACGGAGGCGGCGCGGGGAGCCCGCCGGCGCCGGAGACGAGCAGCCGCCAACGGCGGCACACCGCCGCGGCGCGGACGATGTCCGCCAGCGGCGACAGCCTCTTGAACACCTCGAGCAGCATGTCGTCGGGCACTGCCGACGCCCCCATCCCCTCCACCTCCACCCGCGCCGCGGAACCGGACCCACCTGGCGGCGACTGAGACCGGGCCCGCGCCGATGCCTTCCCGCCGCGACCGCGCATCTCCTCCTCCCCCTCCATCCGCGGCCGCGTGCGCCGCGCCGAATCGAACTCCCCCGGCGGCGACTGCGACCGGGCGCGCACGCGCGCGCGGCGGACGACCACGGCCGACGGCATAGCCGGACCACCGACAACAACTACCTCCACAACGCGTCGGAGATTGGCAATGGCGCGGGGAGAGACAAAGGAGAACTCGGGGAGGCGCGTTCTTAAGGGAGGCGAGAAGGCGCGGCAGCGAAAATTTTGGGGGGGCGGGGGGGGGGGGGTGCGTTTGAGATTTCGGCCGCGGCGAGGCGGCGCGAGGGAGAAACGGGGGCGGCCTACTATTTTTGTTGGTGATTTGGTTTGCCTTTTCGGCTTCCCCTCGCGCGCGTACTATGGAGGGTTTCTTTCCGTGTATTTGCCCCAACTTTTCGCGACCTGCCGCGCGAGGGGTGGCTTGGCTCGCGTAGCGTCGGTTCGTTTTGGGCGATTTTTGGGCGGGGCGGGTGGTGGACGCGAGTTTGGGGGGCAAAACGAGGCGAAATCAGCGGGAAACGGGGTTTATTTTTCGCGTTTTAGGCGTTGCGCCGCGGGGAGGTTTGAAATGGTTTCGAATCGAGTTTGGGGGCAAAACGAGGCGAAATCAGCGGGAAACGGGGTTTAGGCCCTGTTTAGTTGGCAAAAAAAAAAATATTGATCTTGCGTGTCACATTGAATATACGAACACATGTTTAAAATATTAAACGTAGTCTAATAACAAAATAAATTACATATTCCGTCTGTAAACTGTGAGACGAATTTATCAAGTCTAATTAATCTATTAGCAAATGTTTACTGTAGCACTGTATTGTTAAATCGTGGCGTAATTAGGCTTAAAAGATTTGTCTTGTAATTTACACAAAATCTATGTAATTGCTTTTTTTCTATATTTAATATTACATATTTAATATTTAATATGATAGCGTGAAAAGTTTTTACGTGGGAACTGTCTTATTTTCGCGTTTTCGGCGTTGCGCTGGCGGGGGAGGTTTGAAATGGTTTCGAATTCTCGTGGGGTTTCGCTTCTACTGCAGACATGGCAGATGGGGCCCCCGTTGTTGGTGGTGACCATCCAGGCGTAGAGGGTGTGTGGCACCGCGGGGAGGTGCATCGTGCACCTGGTTGGTTCAGGAGACGTGTGTTTCTACTTGGGAAATCCGATAGATCGTTTTGATAGTGAGATGGGCTCGAGGCCTACGCGCGCTACACCCTCAGCACGGGTTTTCGAGGACGGCAATCCTCCTAGAGGATACGGCGTCGTGTCTAGAAGCATCTAGTCGGACCCAAACCATTACTATACCAACTGTATCGGTCGAAAAAAAAATTACGTCATCGTTCTTATCAGGTTACGCTACTTTTTTTTATTTCTCGTGAACACACTTTTTAACAGGTTAAATGTTATGTTTTAACACGCTTTTCAACTGGTTAAATGTTATGTTTTGAGCAAAAATTTTAAATTATTATATATGAATTTGGACAGGTATTCAGCTCTATCCGTCATGTCCAGAAGCATCTAGTAGGACTGAAACCATCATGTCAATTGTCTTACTCTCTGTCTAAAAACCCTTTATTTTCCTATCGTTGTTCTTATCAGCTTACGCTACTTTTTATTTTATTTTTCGTGAGCGAGCACGCTTCTTAAATGGTTCAACGGTTTGTGCAAATACTTTCTATTATTTTTTTGTAAAAGAAAAATAGTTCACTTTTAGACATGAATGTATACAACTCTTTCGGTCATGTCTAGAAACATCTAGCACCATCAAAATCATCATGTTAATTGTCTTACTTCATACGACAGAAGTACTTTATTTTTTTGTCATCTTTCTTATCAGTTTAAGCTATTTTTTTATTTTTGTAAGCAGGTTTCTCAAACCGTTAAATAGTCTTTCTTATAAATACTTTCTATTGTCTTCGTTAAAAAATAATTCACTTATATATATAAATCTGAATAGCTATACGGCTCTATGAGACGTCTCCAGAAGCATCTAGTCTCACAGAAAACATCATGTCAATTGTCTTACTCCCTACCGCCAAAAAACATTATTTTTTATCATCATTCTTATCAACTTATGCTACTTTGTTTTATTTTACGTGAGTACGCTTATTAAACTGTTAAATGGCATGTTTCATGCAAATACTTTATATCATCTTCGTATAAAAATAATTTACTTTTATACATGAATCTAGACATGCACACAACTCTATCAGTCGTATCTAGAAGCGTAGCCCCACAACAGCCGTCATGTCAATTGTCTTACTCTATTCATCTAAAAAGACTTTATTTCTAGTCATCGTTCTTATCAGCTTACTCTACTTTTTTTTATTTGTTTTCATGAGCATGTTTCTCAAACTGTTAAACGATACTCTTACTCGTGTGCCAGAAACATATAATCCCACCAAAATCGTCATGTTAATTGTCTTACACTTTTACTCCCTCCATCCAAAGAGGCTCTATTTTTATGTCATCATTTTATCAACTTATGCTTCTTTTTTAATTTTTCATGAGCATGTTTCTCAAGCTGTTAAATGTTGTGTTTCATGCAAATATTTTCAACTATGTTAGCAAAATGTTAACATTTATAAATGAATCTGGACAACCATTTATCTAGATTCATACAAGAGTACCTATCCATATTCATGTACTACCTCTATATGAAAATATAACAACTTTTATATATGAATCTAGACGGGCAGATGTTCAGATTCATAGCTATAAATGCTTATATTTTGGAACGGGAAAAATATAAAAATGATTTTTATTGAAGAAGGTAGTAGACAGAAGTTTATTTGTTTAAAAAAAACAAATAAATATATTCTTCATACTTATAACACTATCTCTGTCTAAAATATTTTATTTTTCCTATCTCACGCATATTAATATAAAGTCAAAAGGCTAAAATGTTCTTCACTTTTTCAAACTCCGATGTATTTAACTCCTACTTTATTAAACCTCAACACATTTGACCCCTTCTTTTAAGAAAACTCCATTGCATCCGTTCTCAAATTTCTCAAACTCAAATACATTGATTGGCTCAAATTATCGGATAAATGAAGAAGGCAAAAAATGAAGGCTTTGTGTGATGGAGGGACTGGTTAATTTTAATTATCACGTGCTAATGGTCCATTACGTTTTCCGTGCCACAACTCAACCCAACCTCACATTCAAACGGTGCCTTAAAGCAAGTTTTATATAGAATTCCATCCGTCCCAAAATATAAGAGATTTTGGAGAGATGTGACATATTCTAGTACTACGAATATGGACAATATGTGTCTAATTCTTCCAAAATCCTTTATATTATGGAACAAAGGGATTAGTAAGATGGTTGTTATTACCTATATTTTTTTTCCATATCGCATACTTATAAATTTAGACATAGCATATTTAATATATTATATCCATAAGTCTAATACACTAGTTCTAATATTTATTTTTCCAATGTACTGCGGTTCCTCTCCCTCCTTTTGTCTTAATGTTTGTATAGATATTACATTTTTTATGAGGGGTGTCTTTTTCCCCTCTCTTCTATCCTCCTACTCATCATATGATATTGGGACTAGTGCTTAATTAAATCCTTAGATCAAGTTTTATAGAAGAGATAGTTGCTACTTCTAATTTTATTCATACAAACTAAGAGGTAGTATGTACTCAATATATCACATGCACACTAACTCTAGTACACTAATTCTAATAATTTTGTTTGTCAAATCATTTTTTTTCTTACTTGAAGTCTATGTGGAAACTGCCCGTTACATATGTGGAAACTGCCCGTTACATAAGGGGTGTCTTCTACCGCCTCTCATTTCTTCTTTTCTCCATTTTATCATATGGGCTTATGTGGAATTTTGAGGTAAGTGATTAAAGGTTTATAGTACTTGCTTTTAGCCATTCCTTATGTTTTTGCAAACTCCAATAATATATCTGTCCCCACTTAAAATTAACCGTCCTTTTGTAAATAATAGTGAAATATAAATTCTCGATGAAGGACCTATTAGCTACTTAGGCAAGCTATAGCATTTGCTTCCACATTCTTTGTCACAACGTAACTATTTTATCACTTCATTTGACTCTCACTGGAATGTTAGGGTGCTTTTGTTTATCGTCAAGATATCTCACGATATGTCCACATTTTCTTTAGATAGTGGTTTAAATTTTTGTTTGATTGAGTAGATCGGACGATCCAGTTTCTTCTTATTTGGTTGGATGAATGAAAATGGATAGAAAACAATAAAAATTTTAAATTATAATACAAAATATTAATTATTATTAATATGTCTATAATACACAAATTAACAATAAAATGGACTAATTTTCTCTATCAACACTAATCTTAACAAGTTGAAGGGCAACCACAATGTTGCAAAAAAGTAACCTCCTTAAGGTCTTTAAGGTGGACAGTAGACATTGTGTAATTGAAAATAGGCTAGGCCACAACAAGAAACAACCATAAACTAATGAGTAACAAAATATATTAATCATCACAAACTAATTACTAATGATTAAGACTAGCAAAGGAGATGCTTCATCCGGCTAATTTTGTGGATGAACTCATCCAGCCTTTTTTTTTTTGGAATATTCCTTCTCTGGCTCTCTCATCTAACCTTGTTCCCATCTAAAAATATCTTTTCAAACAAACACATGCTTAACTATTTTATCACTTAACTTCCCAAGTTTCACTGCAGCTCAAACGTGAATCCAAATACAATGCAGCCGCCTATTTAATGGGCCATGGACTGCGGTGATGCATTATCATCTTGGAGGCCCATTTTAACATATATGGGTCGTTTTATCTGTTCATTCTATCCATCCAGTTTCTTATTCCATACTTCAGTGTGGCTATTTTATCATCTAATTATGATCTCTCCAACAGCAGCAGCGTGATATGGGAATTGAAGCATACTCCCTCCGTCCCCCAAAAAACGAATCTAGAACTGGATGTGACATATTCTAATACAATGAATCTAAACAGAGGTATGTCCAGATTCGTAATACTATAGTTATAGTTATAGTTAATAGTTACTCTATTCGTCTCTAAAATTAAGGGATTTTGGTGGGATGTGACACATCCTATTACAACGAATCTGGACAGGTTTTTGTCTAGATTCGTTGTATTAAGATGTGTCACATCTCACCAAAATCCTTTATTTTTAGAGACGGGGGATCGAGGGAGTATAAGCCAATAGAAGGAAATATGATAGTCCATAGACTCGCTGAGTTGGGGTCCTTGTGCTTGGCAGATTCTGAACAGTGCTCGTCTCTATACCATCATGTATTACATACTTGGTTGTGGAGGACACCTCGGCTAATGGATTGTTGAGGATATCTCGGCTAATGGGGAAAATATGCGATGGAAACAACATATGCAGTGGAA